ACAGATTACCTTGGAATCAATGTCCTAGCCTTTCTTGAAGCCTCCTCTCGCTTGAAAAGTGAGTGCCATCGATCATAATATTTTCTCGCTATATAGTCGCATATCTTTCGTTGTTTCTCGAGGCGAGCCTTCTCGATCTTTAATCCAGACGCAAGTGTCTTCTCTTTGTTAAGGTTTCTCTGTAGTCGTTTCCGTTTTTTCCTTCCTCTTTTCATTCGTCTTATCTCCTCCTTTGTGTTTTCACGGCTTATCCTACTCATGAACACGATAAAAAATGTTGAAAATTACTATAATCTTGCCCTTGCCTAGCTCGTAACATCAGATTCTGTTTTAAGGCGCCAAAACGACCGCTGACCAGCGGGTAGTTAACTTCAAGATTTTCGTCACCAGACTTTCTCGGACTACGCAATGATAACAAACTTTTTTTTTCAGCTGAAGGAAATCACTACTGAGTGGACCTTGGAGAAAAGAGGGCTGGGAGGAATAGCAAATATTCCCCCCCCCCCCCCCCCCAAAAAAAACAAAAAAAACAATTGTCTGTTTGGGTCTAACAAGGTGCGCATAGTAAAAAGGGAAGGGGTGATCTAGGATGGAGGAATTTGATACTTCAATGGTATTAATCTAAATGAACTGTACAAAAAATTACTAGTTGCTTGCCAGTCATTTTAATGGTTTTATATAGAAAATCCCTAAGAAATCTTGCTAATGTCCATGCCATACAGTGGAACCCTTATAATAAAAGGAAGGGCCATGGGTCTCACAAAATATGTTCACAATATTATGAGGTTTTATTATATCAAGTTTTTTATATATATTTTACTTTTACTAGGGTGAAAAATGCATTGCATCATTCGCTAAACTGAGGACTTCTTTATATAGAGGTTTTTTAAATCAAGGTTCCACTGTAACAGGTTGCAAAAAAAACAAAATTAAGTTTCCAACAAAAGCGCAAGTAATTAATAAGAAAAATGACAATTTTATACTGGCTGCGTAATGTAACCATTGAGGGCCTGAGAAACCTAAATTCTGATAATGAGCACTGGGCCAACATTTTCCTAAAGCGACTTTTTGGTGGGCTTATTTTTTTTAATGTTCAATTATTCATTTAATTTTTTTGAACATTTCCAGGACTTATCGGAAGTTAAAAGCAATTTCAATTTGATGCCTTGG